ATGGCGCTGATCTTAGCTATCTCTTAGTGGAGGAAAACAATTGTGACATCACTTACGCGACTCTGGGATTTGTAGTCTTTCTAGTTGCGTATTTTTCATAGTCTTATATTTCAACAGTTTTACGACAAACTGTGACTTTTTTGACATGGAAATTATTTTTTAATATTGACAAACATCATGTGTAATTCATGGCACAATTCAAACGGGATCGAAAGATAAGTTTTCTCTCTCCATTGACTTCAATACATATTTTTCCGAAATAAGGTCCCATGGACCGGAAGTAGATGACCGTGACTTCGCCACTTTATACGGGTACTTCTGATCTCAAGGGTCAGGCCAACGTTTGCTTCTGGTTATCACATGTATGCTTCAAAAATCCTAAAAGTGGTGTTAATATGTTGAGATTATACTGCTGAACAAAACATGCAAGTATCATTAACGTGTGGGAAGCCTATTTTCTGCAATATTCTGAAATCCAATGGAAAAATCCCGTTGCTCTTTGTCTCTTGCACCACTCTGCATTCTGTTGTGCAACCCTGTGTTGCGTAATGACTTAATGATCCTTGACTCCTGTTTACCTCCCTCCGCAGGTGATGAGAGTAGCGTTGCCGGTTTATGTGTGTTGGGATTTGTGTTGTGTGCACACCCAGAGGCTTCATGCATGTCAACAGGAAACACACTATGTAAATGAAGATATCCTTCTGTGCCGTGCCTAGTCCTGTTGGCATACCCTGAACACATTACCAAATCCACACATATATGCACATGCCACTGCTGACGTGCTTCATCGGGGCTCAGAGATCCCCAGGGAAGGTTGGACTCTCACTGATGTGGAGATGCCCCCTCGTACATATTCATTAGCTGCTTCTCTGTCAGCTTCTCTCAGACACTGCCTCCATGTGTTTGCTAACTATGTTGGTCAATATAACCAGAGCCAATGCCTGAATATCAGAGAGGGCTGCAGCTACAATGTAGAACCACTTAGGTCACCCAGGGAGTCAAAATAAAGCTTTATTTATAGCACTTTTCATACACAGGGTGCAGCTCACGTGATTTAACATATATTTTAATATATACTGTATAACGAATACAAGGAGGTGAAATAGGCTGTTCAAATTGAATAAATAATAAAACACATAACCCCCAAAGTTAGACAAAAAGATTAAAAACAATAAAATATGAAAACGATCATACACAAAACAATGTAAGAAAAATGGGGAAAATAATAATAAAGATTAAAAGACCAATTATGACATGCTTTTACAGACATCTTGTTTAATTTAGCATGCTTAAGTTTGCAAAAAATGTTTATAGTTCAATGAGTAAATGACTATGTGATTCCAAAGAAACTTTTCACGTAAAACCTAATATCAAAAATCAAAGATAACAGCCCTGTAAGTGTCTCCCAACAATTATTATTCATCATTAGCACTAGTTAGAAAAGACTGTAATGTAAAAGGGTTCGCTCAAATTGATGAACCAATTAAAAAGGACGCCCAATTCTTATTTATTTTCCAAAGGCTCAGATGAACCGAATGTAGCTGTCCAGCTGCAAGCCGCAGAGAGACATAGTTCCATACTAGATGATGAACGGTGGAGCATTAGGTAACTAAAGAAACAGGTGGATCTTTGGGAGTTGGTGGAGACTAAAATATAGTTAAATGTGGCCACAAAAAACATAAATTAAAAAGCTTAAACATATAAAGGCAATGCAGCTGTTGTTGAAGTTATTGGACCCTATTGTTGTTTGATGACAATGGGAGGCGTGTGGTGCAGTGGACGCAGTGGATAGTGCATTGGTGTTCGGATCAGGGGAGCACAGGTTCAAACCCTACTGCAGTCAGCATGTCGTTGTGTCCCTGAGACACTTCACCCCAAATTGCTCCTGTGGGGATCGCCCACAGTATTGAGTATGTAAGTCGCTTCGGATAAAAGCGTCTAACAAGTGACATGTAATGTAATGGATGACTCATTCTTATACCTTGTCAATGTACTATTGATTCCACAGGATAGTAGGAACAGTGCAAGGGAAAGTGCAGACAGGTAGGCAGTAAAAGTAGGTGGTAGGTTCAGCAGATGATAGAAGCTCGAAAGCAATGACACAAAGCAGAGCTGACAATCTGACAGGGTTAAAGGGCCTGGCATTGAAGCAAAGGGGTTGCAGGGGGTGGAAAGAGAGTCAGGTGACTGGGACAGGTTACTGTACTTTATTAAAGTGTGGATTGGTCTCCTTCTTCCCTTGTCTGTCCTCTCCAGACCATACTGCCAGTATAATCTCTCAGCGGCGGGAGGGCTTCAGTCAGGACCGGGACCAGGAGGTCTTCCGCCTGGTGCTGGTGGTGGCTGATGGGGGGGAGCCCCCTCTCAGCAGCACTGCCACGCTCTCCCTGAGGGTGTGTGTGTGTCAGAGGAACACCAGGGTGCGCCACAACAGCGTCTGTCAGGCCGAGGCCTTCCTGTCCTCAGCTGGTCTCAGCATCGGGGCTTTTGTGGCTATTATGCTTTGTATCGTCATATTAATAAGTAAGTATGTGGGGAGAAATGTGGTCTATCCTTGTCTTGTACATCTCACATGCTTGGAAGTGGAAGTTCTGCTGATTTTATGTGTAGAATTTTGTATATAATATATATTTTGTAAATTATTCCTATTGCATAGAAAAAAGACATTGGGAAAAATGGTTGCTGTTGTGTTGATTTTAAACCATTCATTGGCATATACACAACTTCATGATTCTCACCAGAAGTGTTTCGTACCAGTAGATTGCGAGTGACAGAATACTAGACTAGTGCCTTCTTTGATTGTCCGGCAATCAGATCACGGATTAATTGGATTTTTCCAAACTGTGTTAATAACAATTCTTACTAGTACAATAAGAAGTAAAAAGTCAACGACAGGTACCAGTCTGTTTATGTTGGTGTTCTTACCCTATCAGCTGGTTCCAAACTATAACAGGGCAGTTCCTAAAGATAAACAATTTAAAGAGCAAAGATTTTGTTACTTTGGTTATAATCCCAGAGTTGAAGAATGCACTTCCTTGCTTTAACGAAAATTGGTGTAGCCTGCTTTCGTTCACCGAAGTTGGATATGGCTTGTCCCGTTCTGTTGGATGTCTCCTTGATTCAATCACAGTGCATGATGCATTTAAACGTCAGAAACTGTTTTTCTGAGGATTTTCTCAATCAGTCTTTTTCAATAAATATAACATGAAGTTTTAGTAACTAAGGATATAAGCTGATTGTCTCAAACTTTCTCTAAAAGGTTTGCCATGAATGAAGTTCATGTTATATTTGGTGTGATGGTACGTAAAAACCACTTGGTTTTTTATTTCTTAGACATAAATCCTCTTACGTTTTTACAAGAATCTGATGCCACCATCCAATCAATCAATCAATCAATCAGTCAATGTTTATTCTCAAATAATTCTGTTCATGTTATGGTAAAAATAATTTTGTTGATTTGTATTTACGTCTCTTTCCCCTTTCTTCTGTTCCCTCCAGCCATAGTGATGCTATTCACCCAGCTCCGAAATAAGAAAGCGAGTAAAGAGCCCTTAATTCTTTCCGAAGAGGACATCAGAGAAAACGTGGTGACCTATGATGACGAGGGGGGCGGAGAGGAAGACACGGAGGCCTTTGACATTGCCGCACTTCGAAATCCCAAAAACTCAGAGAGGAAGTTCCACAGTTACCATGGCTACAGACCAAGCCCGTACGAAGAGGACGAGCTGGAGGAGGACGAGCTGGAGGAGGTCGAGATGGAGTATGACGAGGACGGGGTCATGGCGCTGAGGAGGGGGACGGCTCAGGAGGTGGATTATGGGAACTACAAAGCAGGGCCAGAAACTTCCTGGTTTGTCCTTGACTGCGTTCCTCAAGAGATCAGCCAATTGGCACCCTCCCTTCTGCTGCAGGGTCAGGACATCATTCAGCAGATCCTGGAGCAGAAGGTTGTCCAGGCAGACTCAGACACACGCGGTCCACCTTATGACTCGCTACAGACGTACGCCTATGAGGGCCGGGGGTCCTTGACAGGGTCCGTCAGCTCTCTGGGCCTGACCGGTGCAATGCCCGAACTAAACTATGCCTTCCTGGAAGAATGGGAGTCAGATAGGCAAAGACTGGAACACATGGTCGGAGAGCAGCTGGGTACAGATCAAGCTAACACTGACTAAGACGTTTTGTCTTTTTCTTTTTTTGTTACTGTTGGCAAGACTTTCTGAACCAGATGCTTTCTACTTGTGGTATTCAATCTGAGGGCCGAGAAGCAAAAGACTGCCGCAAAAAACTGGCAATTAGGAATTGAGATGTCATATGAAACCTGAGAATAAGAAAAGCCATTTTCTATGTGTGACAGGTTCAAAGAACAAAGGATTCTGGCCTTAATCTTCACTGTTACCAAAAATCAATCACAGCTACCCTGGAGATAAATACTTTATAAGCTAGGAGCCCAGTGATCCGATTATCAGACATGTTTCATTGGCTTGAAATATGGAAACAGGAAGTTTCACTAATTTCACATTCATTAAAGGTCACCTATTATGCAAGATCGACTTCTCCATGTCTTTCTACATCAACGTGTGTCCCCTCTTCATCATGTCTCCTCTACATCAACATGTGTCCCCTCTTCTTCATGTCTCTTCTACATCAACATGTGTCCCCTTTTCCTCATGTCTCTTCTACATCAACATCTGTCCCCTTTTCCTCATGTCTCTTCTACATCAACATGTGTCCCCTCTTCATCATGTCTCCTCTACATCAACATGTGTCCCCTCTTCTTCATGTCTCTTCTACATCAACATGTGTCCCCTCTTCCTCATGTCTCTTCTACATCAACATGTGTCCCCTCTTCTTCATGTCTCTTCTACATCAACATGTGTCCCCTCTGTGGAAAGAGACTCTGAAAGT